AGACAGCGCTGCAGCACGTCGTCCCACGCCTGGATGTGCGGGAGAACCGTCGCCCTCAGCCTTTTTCATCTCACAGCACGTCTCTGGCCCGTTTGTTTACAAGCTAGCTGACACAGCACAAAAACGCCTCCCCCAACTGCGCATGCGCATAATGAATGAAGGCGTACGACGACGACGACGTGGCCGAGAGTACGTGTTGACCAGCTGATGTTCTCCACTTTTCTCTTGAAGGACAAGTATTAAAGATATCAGTCTTAAATTATATTTGTGATAGACATGGTGAGTGAAAGTCGATCGTATTCTAACCCAGCGAATCTCAGTACGGTAGCGTGCTGGTCTATGTGTTGTATTCCAATTGAAGCCCACCTTCATTTCCTTGCTCAGGTCTTACTAGCGGCAGCCGTGTGCACGAAGCAGGGCAAAGGTAAACATCAGTATCTCTGTATAATTGACTACTTTGGTACAGTATTATTTGCATGTTCACAGTAAGTTTCTAGCTAAATTCTCGCTGGGGTATTCACCACACACTTCTCCCGGTTTCCCAGCTCTCCTGTCGCGTCAGTTTGTGGAGATGACGAGGGCGAGAGTGGAGGGGCTCCTGGGAGCCTTCCCCAAGCTGATAGGCTCGGGGAAGCAGCACACGTTTGTGGAGACGGAGAGTGTCCGCTACGTCTACCAGCCTCTGGAGAGACTGTACATGTTGCTGGTGACCACCAAGACCTCCAACATCCTGGAGGACCTCGAGACACTGCGTCTCTTCTCTAGAGTGGTCCGTCTCTTATTATTATTGTTTGCTCCTTCCCCCAGTACTCCCAATGTCTCTAGAGTGGTCCGTCTCTCTCTCTGTTTGCTCCTTCCCCCAGTACTCCCAATGTCTCTAGAGTGGTCCGTCTCTCTCTCTCTGACACTGTTTGCTCCTTCCCCCAGTACTCCCAATGTCTCTAGAGTGGTCCGTCTCTCTCTCTCTGACACTGTTTGCTCCTTCCCCCAGTACTCCCAATGTCATTTTTCATACAATTTGTCCTCCTCGACTAGCTAGCTTCTTATCTCTCTTCTCCCTTTTCTTCATTGTAGGTATCTGTGTATGTCGCCTTTATTTCGCTTTCCCCCTATCTCACCTTAGACGATGTTCCAATCCCTATCTTGCCTCTATTTCCCTATCTACTGTCTTACTCTTATACCTCTACTCTCATTGCATTATTTTCACCACATGTTCAACAAATTGTGTCTGCTTATGATATTCTTCCTTTCTCTCTTCATTTCTGTCTCCTATACCTCTCTTATCTACACATTCCCCTCCTCCCTCCTCCCCTCCTCCTCCCCTCCCCTCCTCCCTCCACCCCTCCTCCCTCTCCCCCAGATCCCAGAATACTGCCAGAGACTAGACGAACAGGATGTATTGGACAATGCCTTTGACCTCATCTTTGCCTTTGATGAGATCGTTGCCCTGGGATACCGAGAGAATGTGAACCTGGCCCAGATACGGACCTTCACGGAGATGGACAGTCACGAGGAGAAGGTCTATGAGGCCATGAGGAAGGTAGGGAGGGAGAGAGGAGAGGGAGAGAGGGAGGGCGATGAAGTTTTGAAAAGAGGGAGGGCCTCTGTGCGATGGAAGGAGGAAAAACGAAACTATGTACTGTATATTATATGATATATATATATATATATGCTATAGTTTTCTCTAAAGCATGGTGTCACAATACAACGTCAGTAGGGTGTGGTTGTTCGTTGAGCATTCTGCAGGGTACTGCCCATTCTGTCTGTTGCGCATGCACAGATATCACAAAATCCTTAGATTGACTGCGTAAAAGCTAAGATGGAAGGTTTGCACAAGACAATCCGTGGCCATACATTTTCAACTAACATACACGTAGCCAGCTAGACAGGGCGTGTAGTGGAGCATTCTATACCTCTCACCCACTCATCTCATAGTGTTATTGTTGTGGTGGAGTGCGTGTTGTACACAGGCATCTCTGTATGCAGGGGTGTATGTAAATAAACACAGACAGCAAACACAGAGAGGTGGGCACCAGTCCCAGTATCACATGAACACATACACACAGAGTCTCTCTTTATCATATTAGAGCACAATACATACACACATATGTACTACGTGTGGTATCACTAAGTATGGAGTAGTGAGAAAAAACCATTAGTTGACTAGGTAGCGACTGTAATACTTGCTTGTTGATTAAAAGAAAGTATGGAGTAGGTCCTTCAATACACTATGAACTATACCATGTGTTAAGTGTCCCCCCTCTCTCTATCTCTGGCCACAGTCCCAGGAGAAGGAGGCTAGGGATGAGATGAAGAGGAGAGCCAAGGAGCTCCAGATGGCCAAGAAAGAGGCCACCAAGAGAGGAGGCAGGGGACACGGCTACAACGTTGGAGGAGGGTTTTGGTTCTGCTGACTACAACCCCGGGCCCTCTGTGGACATGTCAGCCTCTCACCAGTCCAGCAAACCTGCATATAACCCTCCCAGGTATTGTCCCCCATACTTATTCGTATGATAGTTTGGATGTTTGGGAGAAGGTTGGTTGATCCAAAATTTATACTAATTTATACAAAACTCATTCCCACCCCTGAAATTTCTGATTTACAGTGAAAAACTCTCACTTTAGGGATGTTGGAAGTATTTTAGGTGTCCCTATTCCAGAGGTAACTTAAAGCACTAAAATGTGCATTGTTGTAGGGAGGAACCAGTGTCCTGTAGTTGGAGGGTCCTTTTTCAGAGGTTCAACTTTATTCTGTTGGTGCAGTTGGTACAGGTACAGTCAAGCTACTGCCAGTCCAAGAGCATAATATGCACACCCGGTGTTGCTACTTACAGACTATAGAATCATTTTCTGCTGGTGTCAGGGTGTCATTGTAGTTGTCTGTTGCTCTCAGTCGTCCGCAGAGGGCTGGAGGAGGGAGTGCTCTCAAGCTGAAGAAGAAGGACAAGGACGTGGACATGTTTGTGGACAAGTTGGTGCAGGAGGGGGAGAGGGTGACCAGTGTTACTGCCCCGCGACAGCCCTCCATGACTGCCAAGACCACCACCTCCACTCCTCATGCCAGGTGGACCCTCCTTCCCTTACCCTATCTCTCTCTTACTTCACTCTTCTCCTTCGTACTGTATTTAGTCTCTATGTGTGACCCGCTTTAGGAAAGATGTTTTTTTGTGCATGTAGCACTTGAACAGAAGCAGCTACAGAGGTGTGGTTTTCATTGTTGTATTCATCGTGCATTGCACATTTGAACGATATTATGCGTAACTGAGTTTTTGAGCCGAAATGTACGTACTTTTTCCCGTAGTGGGTCACATATATAATCTTGCTCCAACTTTTCCCCTTTTCCTTGCTCTAATCCTCCATCTCCCTCCTTCCTTCCTTGTGTGTGTGTGTCAGTGTCCATCTGAAGGTGACGGAGAGACTGAGTCTGGTGGCTGGGAGGGAGGGAGGACTCCAGTCCATGGAGATACTGGGGATGATCATGCTGAGGATCACAGACCAGGAATTCAGCAAAATCAGAGTTCTGATGGATAACAAGGACCAGAGAGGGCTACAGTTTCAGGTACCCACTACCTCTTTTTCAACCTCCCACTCCTAGCTCTTAGATCTTCGAATTAAAATTTAAAAACTGTAAAAAAATGTAGGGATGCCAAACAGAGGACTGGTGAACGTGTTTCTGTGTCACTGGCAACTGGCAAAGGACTCTTTCGAGAGTGCACTCCAATTGGAGCCCACCAACACGACTCTGAAGAACAACATTGCTGTGTGTACCTTCTACCAGGGATACCTCAAGGAGGTCAGTGTCTCCCCACATATAGTAACACATAACAATGGTGTTATTACTGGAGTCCAAGTAATAAGGTGCTGCCAACTTGGGTAAAGTGATGGTAGCGACTGAGAGGAGATTCAAGTTGACAATTGAGCATTCAGTAGCCAAACGATGTTTCAGTCCATGAGCCTTCTTCACCTTTATAGACTGTCCACACACCAAAATGTCATAGACATGAAGCTTGGCTACTGAATGCTAAGTTAGCACAGAACATGAACATAACAATCAATGATTGAAGTGTGTCGTCACCTCTCCCTTCCCGCAGTGTATCAGAGAGTTGGAGGGAGTGGTGAGATGGAGTCCTCCCTCCTCCCTCCAGCCTGCCCTCCTCACCAACCTCACGGCGACCTACGACCTCGAATCTAGCTCCGCCCACTCCAAGAAACTCTCCTTCCTCCCTCTCTTGGGACAACATGTGGGGGAGGGGTTTCCCCTCTCCTCTCTCGGTCTTAGATGAGACTGGACATGAATTAGTGTAGTGTGTTTGTTTGAGCATGTGCAGATCATTCGCATAATGTTGATTCTGTCAGACTCATGTTTACGAACGCTCTTGTTCTTAGATGATAACAAGACAGACACGTTAGGGCAGCTACATATTAACCAAGTCTGATTCTGTGACTCTTGAATAGTGTGTCCTTTTCATTGATCACTCATCCGTCGACCTTTTCTTGGATTTGAAGGTTCTGCCTCCATTTTTCGTTTCATTCCTGTCTTAGCTTGTGGTGGGAAGCTGAGGGAAAATTCTACACTGAATTTTGATACTCTGGAATTGCATTTCCATACCTGTGTCCATTGGAGGGACAGTCTCATTTACTTCCAATTGTTCTGGCCTCGAGACCTACATAGTTGGGAAACAAGTGATTATTTGTGCTGTAAATCAACAATAGTACCTACTCTCCACGGGATGATGCTTGATGCTCTGTGTCTCTGTTTTGATGAACGAGTGCGCCCTGTGGGTTGGCTAGAGATACTTCCGGCACATCTTTTTCTTTGCAGAACTGTTGGTCTTGAGAGGTATCTCTCTCTGGTACGCCCATCACCTGTGTCACTAGAACATGTGTGTGTATTTAAAGAGTACAGTTAAACATTATTAATCACCATGCAAGGCATTTTTGGTGAGCGAAGCAAGCAGTTCAATTTTTTGCGTGTTTTATTACGTATAACATTACGGTATGTGCAGTGCAGGTCACAACATAATTATAAATCCTGCATTCAGAAACCCTGTACGTTCAAGTGCAACAAAAATACATGTTCTCGGTATTCGGTCAAACTCTAACTTATACATTGTCTACCACGCACAACACACATCCCACAAGTTGCATGAGGAGAGGTAGAAGGGAGATTGCTGAAAACTGCAAAACACACATTAAAGTATTATACCTCCATATGTTTGAGTAATTTTCTCAGCAAGTGCAGCGTTATTCCCTCCTGCACGATTCTCTACTGCACTAGCCAGTAGCTCCCATGATGGCTCTCCAAATCTTTTAGTGTTGTAATTTTTATTCAGCCACAGAGTCAGCATTTCAATCAGACAGTCATCAAGATCTCTATTCTCTTTCTCTATCTTCTTTAGTTCGCTAGGATCCAGTCTGAGGGCCAGTCCAATGTGTTTCCATCTGTCAGTTACTGGCTGCAACTCCCTCTTTACATCAAACAAGTCGTCTTTGTCTATATAATGAAAGCAATAATCATTATTCGTGTGACTAACCAAGAATTGTTGTGTTTGTTTGGGATATAGTTTCTCCACCACAAGGCTGTGGAAGTGGTGCTGGAGCTGCAAAACCGAGGGATAGAGAGATGTATCCAGAGCCAAAAATGTGCAATCATTTATAATTACCTGGTCCACCAAGCCACACTGTTTGGTCTGGAGTCAGATTATTGAATTCATTAGGATTCTCACTACAGATCCATTGCTTTGTCTCAGAGATGTGTGCCACATGCAGTTCAGTGTTTTGAAGATTATTGTGAGCTGGACAGAGAAAGGCAGGCTTCGGGCATGACTTACTGTGATGCATTTTCTCTAGGCCTGCTTTGACGGCAGGAAACACATCTGACTTTGACTTACTGTGATGCGTTTTCTCTAGGCCTGCTTTGACGGCAGCAAACACATCTGACTTTACCATCTCGCAGTGCTTGATGATACTACCTCCGTCTATTTTTCTGGTGTCAACATTCAAACAGATGGCAAAGAATGAGAAGTTGTCAATGAATGTCATTGAACCAGGTGTGGAACATTTCGTAAAGGTGATGGAATTGCGTGAATTGTATGTTGGTGCATCTTCGCTATCATATTTGGATGGTGTCTTGATTTCCCAGCCAGCCTGTGTCTGAAGGTGGCACACACTGCAGCAGAAGACACCAGGAGGAGCCCAGCCTGTGGGGAACCACACCACCAGTGGCGATATTTCTGAAGCGGTGTGAGACTATCTATTATTTGAGATTCTCTGATGCAATTCAGAATTGCTGGAAAAAAGTATTTGTTTTCTGGCAATTTTGAAACAATGAGCAGCTTTTCAAGTAGAGTTATAAAGTGGTTTGCGGTGAATATTCCATTCACATAGTGCTCTTTAAACTCCTTTCAGAAACTCGACAGTAAGAATTCCTTTGTCTCTAAATTCCTTGCAGCCGCTTGTTGCTACATCCATAGCTTTTTCTGGTGCTTTCTCGGCCACTTTCAAGCAATACTGTCTTTCAACAAGAGCCGACAACTTATCCAAAGGCACCTGAGCGTCAGTGAATATTAAATCAGGGAGAATCTTTTTCTTGTACAGAAAAATGTTCAGTTTGTCAAGAAAGGATAGTGCCGCTTCAAGTTCTCCTTCAGTAAACCCCAGAATATTTGAGACGTGGGCACATTCTTCTTTGGTGAGGACCTTTCTGTTCAATTTTTCTGCCAAGGCTTCAAGAATTCTCTGGAGAATAAACCACCAGATTGGTATCTTGTGGTAGGTGGCAACTTTGTGGATGCTCGTTCTAATCTTGCCGGCCTCTTTTTTGTCGTCGTCATTTGGGGTTTTCGTATTCATCTGGAATAAAACATCATCCATACCTTCATTGCAATAAACCACGTCATCGTCAAAATGTGGTGATGCAATTGTTTTCAATATATCATTTTTATCTCCTGGTTTTTCACCACATTCATGAAGTAAGTCCTTGTGAGTTCCAACAACAATTATCTTTGAACGATTTTCCTCTTTGTCTAGTCCTTGAAGCATTGTCTTGAAGGCCTGTGATGTGGTGAGCCTAGCTCTCTCTTCTGGTCCAACTCTCTTCCCACTCTGGTAAAGATCGTTGAGAGGGTGTTCATCAAGTTTCTCACACAGTCGGTGGACAAAGAGTGTGGCCGAGGTGTCACGCATGAAGATTGGAGCAAGATCCCAGTAGGCTTGCTGGCCTCCGCAGTCTGTTAGGTAGATCATCTCCATGTCGAGTAGACGACGTGATGTCTTGCCACTGCCCACTAGCTTTGTAAGTCTCTGAATCACATCATCAATGACTTCTCTTCTACTCTTTGCACTACTACCACACTCGTCTTTAGCCATACCCTGATCAGTACTATGTTGAGCAAAGTTGCCTTCTCCGACCATTCCCTCTATCTCATGTTCATGTTCTTCAACCGGTTCACTCTCCATAGCTACTTCAATCCCTCCACCACTCACCTCTTCTTCCATCTTATCTTCTTCTTCTGGGTGTTCTGTTTTGGCCGTAAGCTCACTATAGAGAATAGGAACTGCTTCTGCAATCATCTTCATGAACTCTTCAGTCGATATTTCACTCCACTCCTCTCCTTCTTTGCCTATACGTATCACTCGTATTGATCGTTCAGCACAGCCGGTGCTGTGTCTCTCCTCTGGTGGGTCTTTAGCAAGGAGGAGGTAGATGAGGCAGGTTTTACCAACACCTGCAGGACCCACTACTATCACCTTCACCAGCTTTACAACCACATAGCCTTTCTTCATTGCCTCCTCGAGATATATGGAAAACGATTCTGTGTTAATGAAGCAAAACGCTGCATCATGACTACACAACCCGAAACAAACCATCCTTTTATGATTGAGCCACGTAGCTATACATAGGTGTGAGTTAGCTTGTATGTACTAATAAGTGACTACAGGGTCGATCCGAAAAGGCTCATAGAAATGTAGTGATTGCGCATCAAACGTACGTCAAATCTAGACTAAAGTTGATCTTGAGTCATGTAGCCAAATTTTTGATGAGCAAACACAAGCAAGTAATGGACTGTTCTACGCGCTCTACGGGGTTAGTTTGACAAATTGAAGGAAGTTGCATGTCTCTGTCCCCGTGTTCATGTAGCTGGCATGTCTAAACATGGAATAGTTGTTTCCTACAGTTCGTCAAACTAACACCATAGAGCACGCAGAACGCAATTGCGCTCATATACGTGGATGACTCCCATAGAAATGAATGGGACACAGAGCGAGCCTATCAGGTCGATGTAAGCCCAGTGCGATTATACATATTGGCTTTTTCGCTTGTTTTCATGGCATATCTCTTGAACACAGTCGTTTCAGGAAAATTGCCTTTTAAGTTTCAGGTTCGCGTAGTTCTGAAGCTGCTAGTATCGCCAATAGGCCGCCTCGTAGCCTGTGGTGTCAGAATAAAGTGTCGACACACACAAACCAAGTACTGTAACCCTCGCTGCGCATGCGCGCCGAGGGTTAATTATTGAGTGTCAATTAGCATTTGTACAACAAACTCCTTGAGCTATATACAAAAATGTCACGTACAAACCTCGCTTCCGGTTCTAACTTATATTTAGAGACAGCAAACACATGAACATTTTATCATGCAGAAACCGAAATTACTATTGGAACTGATGAGATGGGCTTAGTCAGGCGTTCTCACGATAGGAGTTTTACATGAGATTTGCTATAACTACGTACATAATGTTACATACCTTCAACTTCTTCATGGCTGGCGTCCTCTGCCTCCTTGAGTAATGATGTGTCCTCTGAAATTTAGGAGGGACCTTTACATGAGATTTGATCCGTATGCTATCACTACATAATGTTACATACCTTCAACTTGTTCATGGCTGGTGTCCTCTGACTCCCTGAGTAATGATGTGTCCTCTGGAATAAAGGAGGGACCTTTACATGAGATTTGATCTGTATCATAATGTTACATACCTTCAACTTGTTCATGGCTGGCGTCCTCTGACTCCCTGAGTAATGATGCGTCCTCTGGAATAAAGGAGGGACTAGTCTTCACCTATAGACAAAGAAGGTGCTGTAATGCTTCATACCTACACATGCATGAGACAGGGAGGGACATTAGTGTCATTGTTTTACTACTAGGACTTCCCTGAAGTGCCACCCTGGGAATGTGATTAAGAAGATTTGCCCCGCCAAAACTGACTGCCAACTTACTAGGGATGGCCTTCTCCATGGATGACAAATATGAAGATATCTCGACATGGTCCTTTCTCTGAGCCCAATGTCCTGGAGTCATCCCATTCTTGTCCTTGACGCCAGGATTGCAATGGTAATCTTCAACAAGTAACTTCACTACTGGTAGATGACCATTACTGGCAGCAATGTGGAGTGGAAGAATGCCATCCTTAGCCTGACACGAGGAGTCGATGTTCTTCTCCTCTATCAAATATTTCACTATGTCCAGTCTGCCACCCTGGCATGCATAGTGAAGAGGAGTCAAACCATTCTCACCTCTACACATTGGGTCACAGCCTCTTTCATTGATCAGGTACTTCACTGTATCTAACCTACCTCCCAGTGCAGCAGAATGGATTGGAAGGCTTCCTAACGTACTTCTAACACTATCATCACAATGTCGTTCTTCAATGAGGTATTTCACAACCTCCAGTGGTGCATGCTGAGCTGCTACATGAAGTGGAGTAATACCATTCCCATTTTGACACGAGGAATCGACGTTCTTCTCTTCTATCAAATATTTCACCATGTCCAGTCTGCCACTCTGACATGCCCAGTGAAGAGGAGTCAAACCATTCTCACCTCTACACATTGGGTCACATCCTCTTTCATTGATCAGGTACTTCACTGTATCTAACCTACCTCCCAGTGCAGCAGAATGGATTGGAAGGCTTCCTAACGTACTTCTAACACTATCATCACAATGTCGTTCTTCAATAAGGTATTTCACAACCTCCAGTGGTGCATACTGAGCTGCTACATGAAGTGGAGTAAAACCATTCCCATCTTGACATGAGGAATCGACGTTCTTCTCTTCTATCAAATATTTCACCATGTCCAGTCTGCCACCCTGACATGCACAGTGAAGAGGAGTCAAACCATTCTCACCTCTACACATTGGGTCACAGCCTCTTTCATTGATCAGGTACTTCACTGTATCTAACCTACCTCCCAGTGCAGCAAAATGGATTGGAAGGCTTCCTAACGTATTTCTAACACTATCATCACAACGTCGTTCTTCAATAAGGTATTTCACCACCTCCAGTGGTGCATACTGAGCTGCTACATGAAGTGGAGTGCCACCATTCCCATCTTGACACGAGGAGTCGACGTTCTTCTCTTCTATCAAATATTTCACCATGTCCAGTCTGCCACCCTGACATGCACAGTGAAGAGGAGTCCAACCATTCTGACCTCTACACATTGGGTCACAGCCTCTTTCATTGATCAGGTACTTCACTGTATCTAACCTACCTCCCAGTGCAGCAGAATGGATTGGAAGGCTTCCTAACGTACTTCTAACACTATCATCACAATGTCGTTCTTCAATGAGGTATTTCACAACCTCCAGTGGTGCATGCTGAGCTGCTACATGAAGTGGAGTGACACCATTCCCATCTTGACACGAGGAGTCGACGTTCTTCTCTTCTATCAAATATTTCACCATGTCCAGTCTGCCACCCCGACATGCACAGTGAAGAGGAGTCAACCATTCTCACCTCTACACATTGGGTCACAGCCTCTTTCATTGATCAGGTACTTCACTGTATCTAACCTACCTCCCAGTGCAGCAAAATGAAGAGGAGTGTTCCCATACTTAGTCCTACACTCTGTGTGGCAGTTTCTTTCTTCCACTAAATACCTTACAATGTCTAAATGACCAAATGCAGAAGCAAAGTGAAGGGGAGAGCGTTTTGCTTCATCTTCACAAGAATGTGGATCAACATGTCTTTCCTCGACAAGGTACTTCACTTGACTAAGATCACCATTTCTACTGGCTTGTAGTAGAGCAGATGAACCTTGAATGTGTAGATAGCATAACAATTACGTGTTAGAAGCACTAAAGTGCAAACCCTCGGCGCACTAGACCGTGTGTCAGTGTGATTTGTTTAATTTTACATGTATAAATTCCACATTCAGGCGACTAGGAGGGCTCGCTTAGTTTCGCCAATTATGTGCAGCAGCCATGTATGAATCATACTGATGCACTACCATAATAGTAAATATCTCATTAGTGGGGTTTTCCAACATTGGAGGTGGGGGACACTAGAGCATACGTGTTTGCTCCACAGTTTTTCTGTGGTATAGAACGCTAGCTCTACGGGTATATTAGAGCGTCAGTAGACACTCTATGTTAGGGATGGTACAGGTCAAATCTCACGTGATCTGCATACAAAAGCCTCAAAACTCTGTGAGAATGACTCGCTATGCACTAGCCATAGAGTATGTGTCCATATCTAGCATTTATACGTGCCCTCAGTTCTCCACGCTAGAGTTCGGTCATACGCGATTTCACGATTTTTCGTGTTATCATCATCATAAACTTCTGAAGTATCACCTTACTGGAAGGGCTTGGGCTAGGGCCTTGGGTACCATTAGAAGTGACATCTCCTGAATTGACATAAGTGTGCACGGCCACCAAGTGATTGTTTCTTTCTTGTCGCAAGTCACCTTGGTAGATCGCGGAGCTCTTTCATGGTAGACAATGAACGACGCCATTTATTGCTAACTCAGCAGTGAGCAGCATGTGCCGGACTGAGACATTGTCCTGATGTGCGCAGTGCACGCTGCATGCGTTGCCCCAGGCGTAGTCGAGTGCGTTACAGTGTAGACTATACTATGAGCTGGCCTCCATCTTTGTGCACCCAGCTTTTCCATAAACCTCCAGGAGTACAAAGATGCCTGCTTCTCCCAACTGAAATGTCATTACAAAATGCTAGTTCTTGCCAATGCGTAGTGCTTTCACTTTGACAGGCAGAGTCAACAAGTTGGAATTTTCCAGATGAACATCTCTACAACGTACCCATGTGTATTAGAGTGACCATAACAAGATGAAAGCACTAGTGAGACTCGCACTGAGAAACGGCGCGTGTCCATGCAACACCCATAGCATTTGTGGGTCACACCCTTAAAGATGGCTGGGCACACTGTCGATCCTGGATGTTTCTGCTATCTCACTGAGTCTGACAGGCTTAGTAGCAACGCGGCGGAATCTAAGTCGGTTAGCCACATCTATTTGTATATTGGCTTGTTCACTTGGTTATCACGCCATTAAAATCACCAATGTAGCGCCACCGAACCTGTTGGCGTTGCTTTTTGGTGGTTTCATTGCGCCTAGTGGCAGATATGTGGTAACAAACACACACACTCAGACTAAGTACTGTAACCCCTCGCTGTGCATGCGCGCCGAGGGTTAATCCCAGCAAAACTATACACAACCTCTTCGTTTTTACCTGACAGTGTCTGCTGCATGGTAGGTTGGAGGGTGTACGTTTGGTTTTCACTTGTGGTTTCTTTCCCTATTCATGGACAGGTAAGGCTGGGCTCTGGATAGGGATAAAACACCCAATACAATGCATTAGAGTGCTGAGATGAGAACTAACTGGGGTCTCAGGTAGAGGGAGAGAGGGTAGCTCGGTGAACCGGTGGCGACGAGATCTGTACGTCTTTGAGCCTCTCCCTCCACGGCTAAGCAGAAACTTCCTCATTTTGTTTGTCCGTGCACAGTCAAGAGGAGTGAATCCGTCTTCATCTTCACAAGAAGGGTCCATTCCTTGTTCATCTATCAAATACTTGACCACCTCAATGTGACCTCCCTTGGCAGCGACATGGAGTGGAGTGGTCCCGCCTGCTCCCCTAACAGCTAGTCCTTCCTTGTCTCTCTCCATCAGAAACTTGATCACCTCGATGTGGCCGGCCTCGCAGGCGACTCCGAGCGGCGTGCGACCTGACTCGTCACTGGCGAAAGGGTCGGCATTCTTCCCGAGACCAGGTCAACGACAGCGGCCACGTCACCAGACGCACAGGCCTGAATGAGTAGCAGAGTAAGAGACAGCGCTGCAGCACGTCGTCCCACGCCTGGATGTGCGGGAGAACCGCCGCCCTCCGCCTTTTCCATCCCACAGCTCGTCTCTGGCCCCGTTGTGTTACAAGCTGACTCAGCACACAATCCCCCTGCCCCAACTGCGCATGCGCAGTATGCACTGTCGTGTGGCAGTCGTTGACGACCAGCTGATGATCTCCCTTTTCTCTTGAAGAAGGACAAGCAATAAAGATATCAGTCGTAAATTATATTTGTGATAGACATGGTGAGTGAAAATTGATCGTATTCTAACCCAGTGAACATAAGTACAGCCGCGCGCTGGTCTACTGGTGTGTATTCCAATTGAAGGCCCACTCCATGTCCCTTCGTATCAGGTCCTACTAGCGGCAGCCGTGTGCACGAAGCAGGGCAACGGTCACACTTCAGTATCTCTGGTATAAATCACTCACGGCTTTGTACAGTATTATATTTGCATGTCACAGTCAGTTTCTAGCTCAATTCGCAGCTGGGTATGCACACAGCATACTTCTCTCTCCCGGTTTTCCCTCCCGCAGCTCTTCGTCGCGTCAGTTTGTGGAGATGACGAGGCGAGAGTGAGGGCTCCTGGTAGCCTCACGCTGATAGGCTCGGGAGCCGCACGAGCACACAGAAAGTATTTTGTGGAGACGAGAGTGTCCGCGTATACGTCTACCAAAAAGGCCTCTAATTGGAGAGACTGACTCTAGTACAGGTAATGTCTAGAGTGCACCGACACAGACGACTCACCAACATCCAAAAAACACTGAGGACCTCGAGACCCTGCGTCTCTTCTCTCAGATGTGTTCGCGTCTCTCTCTCCTGCCATCTGTTTGCATACAATTTGTCCTCCTCGACTAGCTAGCTTCTTATCTCTCTTCTCCCTTTTCTTCATTGTAGGTATCTGTGTCTGTCACCTTTAGTTCGCTTTCCCCGCCCCTATATCACCTTAGACGATGTTCCGATCACTATCCTGCCTCTATTTCCCTGTCTACCATCTTGCCAGTCTCGTTTTGATGCTTCATACCTTACAGAGCAAGCTCACTTTTCTCTCCTCTTGTTTCACCGCATGTGCAACAAATTGTGTCTGCTTATGATATCCTTCCTTTCTCACATCATTCTCTTCATTTCCATCTCCTTTATCTACACATTCCCCTCCTCCTCCCCTCCATCCCTCCTCCCTCCATCCCTCCTCCCTCCTCCTCCTCTCCTCCCTCCATCCCTCCTCCTCCTCTTCCCGCTCTCCCAGATCCCAGAATACTGCCAAAGACTAGACGAACAGATGTATTGGAGACAATGCCTTTGACCTCATCTTTGCCTTTGATGAGATCGTGCCCTGGATCCGAGCGAATGTGAACCTGGCCGCGAGAACGGACCTCACGAGATGGACAGTCACGAGAGAGAGGTGTATGAGGCCTGAGTAAGGTAGGGAGGGAGACAGGACGAGGGAGAGAGTGAGGGCGGTGAAGTTTTGAAAACAGAGGGCGGCCTCTAGTGCAATGGGAGGAGAAAAACGAAGCTCTGTCACTAAGGTATATATGCCTATACAATGAGTGCTAGTTTTTGATCTAATGCATGTGTCCACAAAAACAACAAAGACAACGGGGTCAAGGTAGTGTCTTGTTCGTAAAATGAGCATTCTGCGGGTAACTGCGCCATTCTGTCTGTTGCGCATAGCGCAGATATGACAAAATCCTTAGATTGACTGCGTAAAAGCTAAGTCGAAGGTTGCACAAGACCATCCGTGGGTCCATACATTTTCCACGAACTACCCGTTAGCCAGCTAGACAGGCGTGTACAGGAGCATTCTATAACCATAACCCCTCACCCACTCATCTCCTAGTGTTATTGTTGTGGTGAGTGCGTGTGTACACAGGCACATCTCTGTATGCAGGGTGGTATTTAAATAAACCAGACAGCAAACACCGAGAGGTGGCACCAGTCCAGTATCACATGACACATACACACTCATCTCTCCTTATCATATAGAACACAAGACATATCACATATGTACGTGTGGTATCACGAGTATGGAGTAGTGAAAAATCATTAGTTGAACTAGGTAGACGACGGTATACTTACTCTTGCTCTGTTGATAAAAGACAGTATGGAGCATTTGTTCCTTCACTACACTATACATGTGTGTACTAGACGACGTGAAACAAGCTAACCCAAAACCCCTTTTTGTTATCCCCATCCTCCCCTTTTTCATTGTCTTTTTCCAGTCCTCTCTCTCTCTATCCTGGGCAAAGCCACGAGATATCCTGCCACAGCCCCAGGGTACAGGCGGCTAGGATGAGATGAAGAGGAGAGCAAGGAGCTCCAGAATGCCAGAGAGCCACCAAGAGAGGAGGCAGGGGACGGCTACAACGTTGAGGAGTTTTGGTCTCGCTGACTACACGCTCTGTGGACAAATTTCAGCCTCTCACCAGTCAGCGAAACCGTGCTATCACCCTCCAGGTAGTGTCCTCCGTACTTATGTCGCATGATAGTTTGATGTTTGGGAGTAGGTTGGTTATCCAAAATTTATACTAATTTATATCAAACTCATTCCCACCACACTGAATTTCTGAGTTTACGTGAAACTCTCACTTTAGGGATGTTGGAAGTATTTTAGTGTCCCTATTCCAGAGTACGTAAAGCACTAAAATGTGCATTGTGGAGGGAGGACCAGTGTCCGTGTAGTTGGAGGAGTCCTTTAGCAGAGGTTCAACGTTATTCTGTTGGTGTCAGTTGGTACAGGTACAATCACGCTACTGCCGGTCCAAGAGCATAGATATATGCACACACGGTGTTGTCTACTACTTAGAGAGTATAGAATCTATTTCTGCTGGTGTCAGGTGTCATCATTGTAGTTGTCTGTTGCCTCAGGCCATTCGTCCGCATGAGGCTGGAGGAGGTGGGACGGAGTGCTCTCAAGACTGAAGAAGAAAGACAAAGCCGTGGACTATGTGGTGACGAGTTCTTGGTGCAGGAGGGGGAGAGGGTGACGGGGATGACCAGTGTTACTGCCCCGCGACAGCCCTCCATGACTGCCAGGAACCACCACCGCACCTCCCTCCACTCCTCATGCCAGGTGGATCCCTCCTTCCTTACCCGATGTGCTCTCTTACTTCACTCTTCTCCTTCGTACAGTAGTTAGTCTGCTATGTGACCCGCTGTGTAAAGATGTTTTTTGCATGTCGCACTTGAACAGAAGAAGCAGCTACAGAGGTGTGGTGATCAATGGTTACATTGTGTATCTCGTGCATATGTACATTGAACGATATTATGCGTACTGATATTTGAGCCGAATGTACGTACTGTTTTCCCGTAGTGGGTCACATATAATCTTAGCTCCAACTTTCCCCTTTGCCTTGCTCTAACCTCCATCTCCTCCGTCCCGAGCACTTGTGTGTGTGATGTCAGTGTCCATCTGAAGGTGACAGAGAGACTGAGTCTGGTGGCTGGAGGGAGGGAGGACTCCAGCCATGAGATACTGGGGATGATCATGCTGAGGATCACAGCAGGAATTCAGCAAAATCAGATAGTTCTGATGGATACCAAGGACCAGAGAGGGCTACAGTTTCAGGTATATATCTGCTACCTCTTCATTCAATCTCTCACTACCTTCGCCTAGATGTTCCGAATTAAAAGGGTGGAATATAGGGCATGCCATAAAAGCAAGGAGGACAAGACAGGGCTGACCTAGTGTAAGTGATGCAGTAGTCGATGGATGATGGTTACATCTTCAATTGACATTTCTTGCTCGTATGTGTAAATTTTCCTCCACACACGAAGCGCCCTATACTACAATTTGTACCTCTAGCTCACATGCCATATCTAGGATGACAATCAGTTGCACGAGATGATAGTGTGAATCCTGCGCACCCATTGAAAATCATTGTGCAGCCCTAAGATCACACAGCCATGCACATCACTTTTACCTTGCACTGTAAATCATAAACTCAAAGCGTGTACTGTAGTCGTGCTGAGGCAGGCTGCGGACGAATTTGAATCGCACAGAATTGCCATATTATAACACATGTGCTACTGGACACCTATAGTTCCTTTCAGATGGAGTTTATGTTTGAAGTTCAGGTTTGGCTGGCAGGTGTTTGTATGTACATGCGGTGTGAGAGTAAGCGTGAAGTTATTTCATTTAACCTTACCGCGCATGTACGCTGTCTCCCATCAGACCCAACACCCAAGTGACTAAGTCCCTGTGTGGAACAGTGAGGGCCTATCTGGGACCTCAGCAGCCCAACATACCCTCTCCCTCTGAAACATGGATCGGTCGTGAGTCCTGACAATGGAGGATTTGCCGCTGCGATTTCGTCAGTCTCTCATGCCCTCTCTCGGGTTAGTACGCACTCTTCTCGAGTCGAAACAGTTTACTGAATCTCGTAGTTTACGGAATGTTTTCTTGTAAGTTACCTGCATCTCGCTAGTGCACCTGAAGCTCGTAGTGTACTGACTCTCTGTAGTTTTACTGAATCCCGTAGTTTAATAATGAATCTCGTAGTTTCACTGAATCTCGTAGTACGTAATCAGCATGATAGAGCCCACTAATCCAGTGGGATGTGGGCAGTAAGCCTCAGGTCTGAATTGTCATGGATCACAGAGTAGATATAAACCCAAACACACACGATTGTTGCATCTCTATAGTCAGTTACACCACACACACATCTGTACAGTGAGGCTATTGCATAGATGGGATATGTGAGGTAAGCTGGTACCATGGCAACCATGTGATAGTGGGGCCTCAGTTGGCTAGCAACGCCATGTAGCAGTCAGACTTCTTCCTGATTACAAACGTGCAGCACCAACAATAAACAAACGCAACACTACGACACTTGAAAGCAATGTACACAGAAAGTTCAAAACATCATAACACTGACGTAGCAATCGTTTTATCGTGCTGCACGATGTAGTTATTGAGTTTAAGCCTCGGATGTTGACAGTCTAGAGAAACAAGACACACAGTACTCCAATCAACACGCCACCTCTTAATCGACAGGTGTTGGTTGTAAACATCGTTTTTTTGAGGCTAGATCGCGCGTGTTTTGATTCAGATGTTGCAGTTGTGAGAATCCATACCCTTCGATAAATCTCCCAACCTTGTTCTCGTGCTAACGAGGTTCCCGCCCTAGACCGTCAGTACACACTGCCAACCACTAAGTGCACTCTGTATCAATTGGCTCAGTTAGCGGCCATCCTGTCCCATTAGTCCGGGTGGCTCGCGGAGACTCTGAGTGCCTCATTTAACTCTCCCAGCTTCCTCGCATATCCTGCCCTTTATACCGCAATCATCACCCACTGGATTACAACTGCATTGATCTCTGCACCATAATGCTGGCTGAGTCCCATAATAGAAAGTTAGCCCTTTAAACTACTGTGCCCTAATAATAATATTAGACTGAGCCTCTATTACTGTGCCATAATAATAATATAGACTTTAGCCTCTATTACTGTGCATAATAATAATAATAACTGAGCGCTGTAACGTATATCACTGTGGGCCATAATAATAATAATAAAGGAAAAAAAACTGAGCTCTGTAACGTATATACTACTGTGCCATATAGAGCATCTGTGTATAATGTCTACATATGTGTATTTTATCTGCTTCTAATATGATAAAGAGAGACTCTGTGTGTATGTGTTCATGTGATACTGGCTCCACGGGTGCCCACCTCCTCTCTGTGTTGCTGTCTTGTTTTATTTTACATACACCCCGGCATACAGAGATTCCTGTGTCCAACACCACGCCACACCACAATAACACTACGAGATGAGTGGGTGAGAGGTATAGAATGCTCCTGTAGGTACACCGCCCTGTCTAGCTGGCTTGACGTAATTACACGTTATTCAAAATGTATTGCCAACGGAGTTTTCTCATCTCAAACCTTCGATCTTTCACTTTTACTCAATCAATGCACAATTTGTGATATCCATCCGCACATGCCACAGACTAAAGGGCAGTACCCCTCAGCATGCTCAACGACCAGTTGTTGAGGTGCGTGTAGTTACTGAGTACAATTCGATGTTTTTCCTCAGATATTTGCGATCCGAGCTTTTTGCACAGGAAATCCGGGGATGGTCTGAATCCGTTTTAATCATACATTTGTTGCTTGCTCTTTAGGGAGGGAGTGGATTGATGTGTATGTGATAGTGTTGTTCTCAGTTGTGGTGTTGGTACTGTGTGTTATGGCACCTACGAGATCTAATCAAGTTTGCTGACTCTCTTGCTTACTTCTCTTCATTTTCCCACTATTTTCTGGTGCTCACATGTGTTTTGATCTTCAATCATCCTTCCCTCTCTCTTCTTTCCTTCCCTCTCTCCTCTCCCCTCTCTCTCTCCCTCCCTTACCTTCCCTCTCTCACTTTCTCTTCTGCCTTGCTCTCTCCACTTATTCACTGTTGGCCATTGGAGATGCAGGGAAGGTGTGGTGGAACATTAGATAGAACTGCTGCGTCAGAGTTGAGCTAACTGATGTCATCGCTCCATCCCTTGCGTGATCACAGACTCTTTTGTCTGTGTTGTTCCATCGGTTAACATT